GACAGATAGACAGATAGAGCTCTTTTGGCTCTTTGGGGTCCGGCCAAATCATCTCCCAAATAAACACTTGGAGTTATCATTTCTTATGAATGTCCAGCCTTAGCTTGGTTTACTTCTAGCCAGCTTTTCTTAAATTATCCCGTCTATCTTTTGCCTCTGGGCTTTTACCTTTCTCTATTTTGGTAAACTTTACTTCTTTCTCTGTGGCTTGCTGTGTATCTGAATGGCTGGCCCCTGGAGTCTTCCTTTCCTCCTCTTTGTTGCTCCTTGATCTTCCCTTCCCAGATTTCTCCTCCTCTTTATTTTCTCTGCCTGCCAGCCCCGGCTATCCTTTCTCCTGCCTAGCTATTGGCCATTCAGCTCTTTATTAGACCAATTAGGTGTTTTAGACAGGCAAAGAAATACAACATCACAGAGTTAAGCAAATGCAACATAAAAGAATGCAACACATCTTTGCATCATTAAACAAATATTCCATAGCATAAACAAATGTGGTACATCTTTATTATTCTACAACAGATATCCTCCCTAATACACTACATTATAGGGTTGTGATCAGAAGGACATTCGTTTCAATGTCCCATTATGTCTAGTGTTTAGTGATCACTTAATAAAGAGAATATATTATTACGGACCTCTGCGGTGAGTTCATGCATGAAGAAAGACTAGGAACTACTGAAGGCCAGATCCAAGAAAGTGGATCTGGACACAGAGTGGCCTCAGTACAGACTGAGTTGAATACAGACTAAACCACATTAGATAAGCTGGGTCTTTATCATAGGGTGGGTGAATCAATAGAAACTGTTCCAACTATTTTATGCAGAAAGAGACTTAATACAAAGAATGAGGTAGGTGGTTAGGATCTGTGGTATGGAGGTATTCTTCTGCCAGGCTAATGACTAAATGACTATATCACTACAGTGATCAGTATCTACTAGTGATACAGTGATCAGGACCCAGCCCCTGCTTGCACTGCTGCAGACCCCGTGACTGAACTGCATCCTACAGAACTGTACACTAGCCATCAGGACTCCATCTGCAGCTCCAACCGCGATGGCCAGAAGCAGCAGTAAGGCAGCCTCGCTCACTTCTTATTTCCAAATAACCCTTGAGTGCATAGATTTGGTAAATGCTACCTCGAAGGCAGCAGTCTACATGCAAAGGAGTATGAGAAACTCCATTTCTAATGTCCCTAGCTAGAAGAAAGAAGGATGGAGGATGCAGAAGGGATGTAGGGAACAGACAAGATAAGAGGGAGCCAAAGAGCATTTGGGGGGCAGAGAAGGGATGGGTACAATGCAGATGTTTCCTGTGATTTTTTTTCCCAGTGAGGAAAGGAGACCAACACATGAATATTTTCTAATTCCTGATGCTTTTGCAAGAATCAGTTCTGACAGGCAGGCTGACAGCTTGTGGGGGAAGGAGAAAGGCAGACCACATGTCCACATGGGTGCCATTCTCCTAGAGAAGCAGAAGCAGATAAGGATGAGCTTGGGGGAGACACACTAAGTGGGCAGTGGTGGAAGTCATATGTTCCCCTCCATTGATCTCCACCTTATTGTTTGGAGCAGAGTCTCTCTCTGAACCCGGAGCTGATGGATTCAGCAAGACCAGCTAGTCAGTGAACTTCAGGGCTCCTCCTGGCTCTCCCTTCTCAGTGTTAGGAATACAGGCATGCATCCCACACCCAGACCTTTTAAGTGTGCAAGGAACACAAACTCAGGTTATGCACATGTGACAAGCACCTTACTGACTGAGGTAGCTCCCGAATCCCATAATCTTAAAATAGCTGTCAAAATATCAAAACAAAACAAAACTAGAAGGTAAGCTAGTCTAACATAACAAATTATTTTGGGGAGATCATTTAGTAGAAATAATTACATAACATCATTGAAGTAATTTGAAGAACCAAGAGATAACAGAAGGATGGCAGTTACCTTAAACTAATATATACAATCATTACTATTCTAGGCTATAGGGCTTTCTGTAGAAAACAACAATGGGATTTTTATGGAATAGTGAAGTATCAAAATAGTCAAGACCTCCTGAGCAGCACCATGGTGACAGGCAAGACTGAGGGCTTAGAAAGGAAAAAAAGGGGGTAGGGACAGTAAGGCAGTCACTGATCCACCTTCTAAGAAGGATTAAGGTCTGGTGTGAAGGCTCAGTAGGTAAATTTGTTTGCCATGCGAGTTTGAGTTCAATCCCCCACAACCCACCTAAAAAGCCAGAGGTAGTGATACACATCTATAATCCCAATGCTCCTATGGTGAGGCGGGGAAGGGGATGGAGAGCAGACTCTCGGGAGCTCCGGCCTGGAGGACACAGGGTGGCAGAAGCAACAAGAGACAAGCCTCAAACACAAGGTGGAAAGAGAATAATTCTCGAAATTTGTCCTCTGACTACCACACATGTTCCATGGCCTGCTCACCTTGCCACCCCATAATAATAAACCAACTAATTAACATTTAAAACAAAACCACTGTCATTAAAAAATATTATGCTTATACATCATGAAAATAAACTTCAGAAAGGCTAAAGATCTAATTGTGAAAGTCAAAATAAAAAAAACTGTAGAGGGAAACAAGAGAGTGCATTGTATATCATCTTAGGGTAGGAAAGTATCTTAGATTCAAGGGAAAAGATTCCATCATAATATTTAAAATAGATAAGTTCAGCCACATTAATGCGCAAAACACATGATAACTGAGAAATCAAGTTATTGTTTGGGAGGCAGCTAATACAAAGAACACCTACGAATCATAGAGAAAGGACCAACAATTCATTGTTGGTGCGGTGGTTTGAATCGGAATGGCCCCCATAGGCTTATAGATTTCAATACTTGGTCATCAGAGAGTGGTACCACTGGGAGGGATTAGAAAGTGTGGCCTTGTTGGAGGGAGTGTGTCCCTGGGGTTAGGCTTTGAGGTTTCAGAAGCACAAGCCAGACCCAGTGTCTCACTATCCTCCTGCTATCTGTGGATCTGGATGTAGAACTCTCAGCTACTTCTCCAGCATCATGTCTGTCTGCATGCCACAGAGCTCCTTGCAGTGATGATAAAACTGTAAGCCAGCCCCAATTAAATGCTTTCTTTTATGAGCTGCTGAGGTCACAGTGTCTTTTCACAGCAACAGAACACAGACTAAGACAGGGGATAAGGAAGTCAAATAGGGAAGCCACAGAAAAGTAAGATCCAAATGGTCAGTAAAAAAGGAAGAGATAAACAGTTCATAAGTAAACAGATATATGAGAGATTAAGAGAATATGAAACATTATTTCATACTTTACAGATGGGCAGAAAAATCAGAACTTGATATGGCAGGGAATCCCATATAACCACCTAAACTAATACACTCACACTCTAGAAATCAACAGCTATTCTACTGACAACTAAATAGAAACTCTCGTCCATGTGCTTGGAGAAACAGGCACAAAAATTGTCATCCGTGGAGCTGGAGAGATGGCTCAACAGTTAAGAGCACTTGCTGTTCCTGCAGAGGACCCTGGTTCCATTCCCAGCAACCACATGAAGCGGTAACTTCAGTTCCAGGGGATCTGACACACTCTTCTGGCCTCTGTGGGCACTGCACACATATGGTACACAGACATGCAAACACATAAAATAGAAATTGTAAATCTTTTTTAGAAGAAAGAAGGAAAGAAAGAAAGAAAGAAAGATAAAGAAGACAAAATGTTAAATATGGAGGTATAGTAGGTACCTTGATGTTTGCTAATTTTTTCTTTTTTCTTTTTTACTTCTTTTGGTGCCCAAACTACCTCCTGACTTTAGGTTAGGATTGCGGTTGAAAAAACATTGAGGTCAGGCTTCTGTCTTAAGACCTCACTTGCCGTCACAGGCAGGATTCTTTGTGGAAGGGAGGGCGAAGGCACAGCAGTCCTGATCAATGTACCATGTTGTTTGTGGGTGTTGTGTATAACTAGAACCTGGGAGATTTAATCAGGCCCTTACTTCAGGTCCAAAAGATATCATCCCACTGTGTGAGTGCGTATGCATGCTGTGTGCATGGGCGTGAAGGCCAACCTCAGGTTTCACCCTTCAGGAGCTATTCATATAGCTTCTTTGAGACAGAGTCCTTACCAGAGCTTGCCGAGCTGGCTAGGCTGACTGGGCAGTGAGCCTTATAGACCCACCCCCTCAGCTTGGGATTGAAAGTGCACACCTAAGTGTCCGAGTTCTCCCTGGTCTGATATCTTTTTTTTTTTTTTTTTTTTGTTTTTCAAAACAAGGTTTCTCTGTGAAGCTTTGGTGCCTGTCCTGGAACTCACTCTGTAGAGCAGGCTGGCCTCAGACTCATAGAGATCTGCCTGCCTCTGCCTCCCGAGTGCTGGGATGAAAGGTGTGCATCACCACTGCCCGGCTGATAGCATATTTTTATAGAGATGGCTGATCATAAATGTCCTTAGTTGGGGTTCTATGCCCTGTCTGGAGTGTCCTGTATCTCTCCTTGACTCTCAGGGAAGAGCAAGCCAGGGATTAGGGAACATCTCTGGGCCCTTCCCGCCCTCCCTTGCTGCGCCTCCCCTTGTCCCACAATCTTTCTGTCCTTGTTCATTTCATTATTTTTAACTTTATATTATGAAACGTCAGAGCCATAAAATGTAGAAAGAATGGTTAAAGGAACTCTCATAAATCATCAACTGTTTCGACAATTATGAATATTAAATACTTGCCAATCTGATCTCATAGATCTCCCTGACGCTTTTTGCTGCAGCATTATAAAAGCAAATCCCAGGCACCATTTTATCTCAACCATAAATACTTCAGCTTTAGCAGACGACTTTTAAAAATGACCATAACACTATTATCACACCTAAGAAAATGAATAACAATCCCTCAGTATCTTCTAATACAATAATGCAGGCTGGCTTTCAGACCGGAGCTAAGCCCCAGCCCTGCTACCCACAACCCATGGCCTGACATCCGCTCTGTGACTAATGCCACTCCAGTCCCAGAGAATTGCTTCTCTGCTCTGCTTACCCTCGGGCTGTCCGAGAAAAGGTGTCTCCTTCCGAATGCCGAGTAGACATTAGAGCTGCTCCGCTTCTGAACTTGGAGATGGGTCCACCGCTGCGAGCCTGTGGATTTCGGTAGCAGAGCACTTCAGGAGAGAAAGACAATTAATTAACTTGTCAAACCTTTCTCTCAGAAAACGTGAATGCACTATGTTCTTGCATAATGAAGTGTCGACCCTAGTCATGTCGGAAGACCATTTTCCTGCTTCTCTTTATACTCTAGCGTTTTGGAGACGTCTGTGAATTAACAGAGTGAAGTCATATGCGGTGTCTGAGAAGTGTTTTACAAAACCAAACAATTCATGGTACTCTCTAACGTGCCACAGTTAGATGTAATGTCAACTCTTCACAATGCCAATGCTTATACTGACAACCACTGTATATTGACAATTGGTGTAAATTGTGTGCACGTTCGTGCTAAGTGGGTACACTTACGTGCGGAGAGGTCAGAGGTTGACATCAGGTTTCTCTCTGCTGTCACCCACCTTGTTTTCTCAGACAAAAGTTTTCAGTAAACTTGGGGCTCACCAGTTTGGCTGCCAAGGCTGGTTGGCAAGCTTCAAGAGTTCTTCCTCTGCCTTCCCCATGGTGGGAGTATAGATGCAGGCTGTTGTGCCTAGCTTCTTATATAGTAGGACTTTCCTCTGTGGGACCACCGACTCACAAATGACAACACGGCGACTTCTTATTAATTCTGGGAGCTTGGCCTTTAGCTTCAGCTTGTTTGCAGCAACGAGCTCTTACAGCTTAATTAACTCATAATTTTAATATACATTCTGCCACGTGGCTCTTTTTTGAGACAGGGTTTCTCTGTGTAGGTCTGGCTGTCCTGGAACTTGCTCTGTAGACCAGGCTGGCCTCAAACTTAAGAGATCCGCCTCCCTCTGCCTCCCGCATGCTGGGATTAAATTCAGTTTCGCGAGTATGACTTATACATCCTCCTCCCACTTCCTCTCTCTGCCTGGAACTCCTGCCTATCCTTCCCTGGGGTGCACTGACTTGGCTATATCGATTGGTTAGCAAGCTTCAAGAGTCCTCTCTGCCTCCGCAATGCTGGGAGTATAGATTCATGATGTTGTGCCCAACTTCTTACATGGTAACTGTGGATCTGAACTCACATACTCGCTCTTGTACAACAAGCATTTTACCAACTGAGCATTCTTTTCAGCCCCAAATTGAAATGATTTTTAATAAAAATATTTCAAATATAACTAAATTTTTTAAAAATTTCAGCATTAGCTAAATAATATGCACTTAAACTTTTGATGTTAACTTATCATGGCTATGATTTTAGTTTTCCCTCTTAGCTCAATAGGTAACTTAGGCCAACATTTGGCAAGCATTTTCAGTAAAGAGCTACATATTAAAGGGTTGAGGTTTTGGGGTCACATAGGGCATGCAGACCTAGAGGCTTCTTTGTGTTTGATTTTACAATCTTTTCAAGATCTATATGCCAGCCATAATGAGGTACCTGTCATTGAAATGAGTTTGCTGCAGGTCCCCAGCAGCTTGCTGCAGAAAGCAGCCAGTCCCAAGCAGGGACAGCGCACGAGACCACGTGGCAGATCTCCAGGTCTCCATGTGGCGGTGGCAGGCGGGCGGGTGAGAGAGACAGATACATGGATAGGCATGCCATGCAGAGTGAGGTTGGATTCAGGGGGTTATGGAGTAGGAAGGGAGAAGGGGAGACGAGGAGAGAGAGAGAAAGAGAGAGAGAGAGAGAGAGAGAGAGAGAAGAGAGAGAAGGGAGAGAGAGACAGAAGCAGGGGAAGGGGAGAAGTGATGAGAGAGGCAGAAGCTGCCAGCTGCCTCTCTGAGAGGAAGACAGAGAAGAGAAAGAGCTCAGGCCAGAAGCTGAAGATCAGCCTGCCTCAGCGGATGGGGGAGGGAGTGGGCGTGGCTTGTCTCTTAAAGAGACAGAACAATCATTACAGTCATAACGACAAGATGCCTAGAATAATGAGTGCAGACGATAATAAGATATATATATGTATGTATGTATATATATATATACACACACACATATATATTTATGGCAAGGATATAGAGAAATGAAAATGTCCAGGGTAATATAAAAAGTACAGCCTCAGCCTGGTGGTGGTGGTACACACCTTTAATCCCAGCACTCGGGAAGCAGAGGCAGGCAGATCTCTGTGAGTTTGAGGCCAGCCTGGTCTACAGAGTGAGTTCCAGAATAGCCAGAGCTGTTACACAGAGAAACCTGTCTTGAAAAAAACAAAACAAAACAAAACAAACAAGCAAACAAACAAAAAACCCAAATAAGCGAAAGGAAGGAAGGAGCAAGCAAATCGGGGAGGAAAGGGTTACTTCACCTTTCAACTCTCAGGCCACACTCCATCACTGAAGAAGTCAGGAGCTCCAACAGGACCCGAGGCAGAAACTGAAGCAGAGACAAAGAAGGTGCACTTCTAATAGGCTTGCTTCTCAGGCCTTGCTCATCTTGTTCTATACAACTGAGGACCACCCGCTGTGTGCTGGGCCCTCCCACAGCAAACATTGGTCAGGAAAATGCCCCCCACACTTGCCTACACATCAATCTGATGGAGGAACTTCCCAGGTGACCCTAGATGGTGCCAACTTGGCACAATCCTGACCAGCTCACCAGCTTTGCGGTGATGGAAGTGTTCCAGAACTAGATATGGTCACAGCTATCCAAGTCTGTGACCACGCCGAAGCTCTGCTGAGTGATACACTTTCAAAGGGCGGAGTCTGTGATGCAAACTTAGACCTTAACAAAACTGTTATTTAAAATCCATGAAAACCATTTTCAACATCAGGGCTGGATTTAACCTGCAGATAGGTTTGCCAGCTCCTGCTTTAGATGGCAAACCGCTCTTTGGAAACAAGGAAACAACCTAGGTTTCTAGTCTGCACCCAGTCTCTGTCCACGTAAGGAGCTATTCTGCTGTGTCTCATTTCTAGTTTTCCTTCACAAGTCATGAGGTCTCCTTTCCAACAGCCCTGCTGTCATGCGTGGCCCTCTGGACCCACTGGTCCTTCGGTAGCCATTGCTTCTAGCTCCACGTGAGTGGTGGAAGGAGCATGCAGCTCAGCTAAACACATAAACTGCAAGTTGATCTCTATCACCGTGACGATTCAAGAGTGGAAGCCCCAAACTTCCAATATAATCATGTCGCTTGGATGACAATGGCAAAAGAGGCAAGGGTGCTTTGGCTGGCCATGGTGGTGGAAGAGGCCAGTCCTGGTGCAGTTGGTGCAGCCCACATTGCAACGAGCAAAAAGGAGACGCCATAGAAGCAACCCCTTTTTGTTAGCAATTATGCTATTTTCTCTCATTCTTGAGTTAGCCTGGAAAATGAGTCTCCACCAGGATCTGGGCAAGCAGGAGACTGCAGTAATATTTAGAGTTCTATTCTGTGATTTTATAGAACCGCTGAAAAGGTCAAAAACATTTCTTTAAATGTCAATGGCCTGAGGGTCCAATTACCCAGGGGAGGACATTCTTGGAAGAGGAGCTTTGTGAGGCTGGCAGGATGAATGCTGTGGGAAGAGCTCAGGGAGTTGGAAGCCAAGGGGTAGCCCAAGCTTCCAGGAGACGGCATCCTCAGTGGACTCGGAAGGAGGACAGCGTTCTGCAGACACCGCAGATGCCGAGTTCCCTGAAGACGGCCCAGTAGAGCTGCCCTCTCCAGACAGGGCTTCACGTCCCTTCTGTCCCTTTCTGGGAAACGGACTCCCCTCAACTCCAAACTGAGTTCCCAGGGTCCTATGTACAGAATTGTGGGACAGACTGGAGAAGATCGGTGTAATGGTGTTAACCATCAACACGGTACAACTAGAATCACCTGACGGGAGAATCTCAAGGAGGGATTACCTGGAGCAGGTTGGCTGGTGGGCAAGCTTCTGACAGACTGTCCTGAGCACTTTAGTCTGAAGGTACACAGCACCTTTCCCTGGTTTGGGGACCTAGACGGTGTAAGAGCAGAGAAAGGTATCTAAGGGAGTACTGAGCATTCATTTTCTCTCTGCTCTTGACTGTGCATGCGCTGTGACCAGCAGTCCCAATGTCCTGCCCCTGTGACTTCCCCGCAGTGGAGGACGCTGGACTGAGGGCTAAACTAAACCCTTCTTCCCATAAGTTGCTTTTGTCAGGATATTTTCTATCACATCAGCAGAAATGAAACTGGGACACCCAGTATCTGCCTCCTAGACTATGTGGTCAACCTCCTGAGCAGGTACGGGCAAACTTCATGAATGGAGGTGCCTCCCAGAGAACACATGGAAAATGTAGGTTCCCAAGCCACCCTCTATAGCAATGTTGTGTCAAAGATCTTAAAAGCAATGACATCTTTAAATAATGTGAAAGGAAGCCATTTTTATAGGATAAAGATGGTTTGCTAAAATGCACATCCCCCAGAATGCTGTATGAGAAAAGGGGGACCCAAGCACGGGCCCCTTAGTAACTTACCCACATACATGACTTTGAGGATGATTTTCCCCAGGCCTCTCTGCAAAGATCAGTGCCTTTGCCTAGAGTCTCATGTCCCTTGCAAATGTCTCCTTTGGAAAGCTGAGGCCATTTCACTACTCCAAAGCCCTGAGCAGATCTTTGAGCAGGCCATCCTCAAGCAAGTTAGCAGCTTCCGTTATTGTTATCCAGCATGTGGGAAATGTCAGGGAGGGCTTCTGGCCCAGGCCATCTGTTTCCCTCTGCACCTGGGGATAGTTCCAGTGTGTCTGTCTGAGCATGTGCTCCAATATGTATCCTCCTCGTGGATCTGGCTCATCACCACAATCATCATACCACCAACCTGTAGTTCAGAGGTGTTTCCCCAAACAAGGAGGAAGGAAGCTGAGATGGGCTGGCTGATACCCCACTCATGATCATGGCCAGTGCCTCAGAAAGGATAGCTGGTGCTGACCCAGGAAGATGCAGGCACAGGTGCAGGCCACAGCCCCACAGACCCTGTCTTCAGATTCTCCCCGGGTGGCCTGAAGCATTTAGAAGCCAGTGTTGACACAAGATGAATATGACCACCTTACTCTGGGAATCAATCTTTCTCCTA